GCAGCCGAAAGCTCCGGGAAAGTTTCTTTGGAGGTGAAAACAGCCGCGGAACTCTGGGCCCGGGCCGGGGCCGAGGGCGCGGGGGTCCCGGGGCCGGGGCGGGGCCCTTCCCGGGCTAGGGTAAGCGGGCCCGGGCTTCCCGGGGGGCGATCGTCCAACAAAGGATCCCGGGGCGCCCGCCCTCGAGGCCTCCCCGCCCGAATCCGACCCCCCCGGGCGTCCGCGGCCCAGCATTCCCAGGGTCCCTATCGGGGGGCCCTGGCCGGGATCCGTATTGTGGTGCCCCTCACGTCCGCCACCGCGTTGTGTTTCAGGTCTGGCTGGGAGCGGCCATGTCCCACGGCCCCAAGCAGCCCGGCGCGGCCGCCGCGTGAGTACGAAGTTCCCTCCCCATCCCCCGCCCACCCAGCCAACACGGTGCTGCAGCCCCCAGCCCCGATTCACCCTGCCTGAGTTTCTCGACCCCTCCCCAACCCCGCCCCCGGGGTCTTGACTCCCTCTCCTGGGTCAGGTCCTTTCCTCTGGCCCCCACGGTTTCCACCCCGCCCGGTCCTTCCCTCTTCCCAGGGAACCCTAGCCTTTCACCCTAGCTGTGCCTGCTAGTGCTCCTGCCGGACCACTTTATCCAGACCTCCCAGACTGCTCCTCCCAGGACTCATGCCCCCTCGCTGCCAGCTCCACCATCGGTGGTCCCTAAAAGCGCGCGGGTCTGGGGCGGGGCAGGAAGGATCCAGGGGTGGGGAGTGACCCAGGTATTCATGGCTCCAGGCCGGCGGGCGGCAAGGCTCCGGGCCAGCATGGGGGCTTCGTGATGGCCGTCAAGCAAGAGCGCGGCGAGGGCCCGCGAGCCGGAGAGAAGGGGCCCCACGAGGAAGAGGTGAGAGTCCCTGTACGGTGCGGGGAGCCCTGGGTCTGGTCCGCAGCCTTGAAGCCCCACCCCGAGGCTGGAGTTGAATCCGTTGTGGCTCCGCCCACAGCCCAGATTTCCCGCCCAAATCCGAAGCCAGACACCACGCCCCTAACAGGTCCAGGCCCCGCCCACTGGGTAATACTTTGTCGAAGGCCCCGCCCACTGCCTAGTGCTTCCTTCCCTTTGAGAGGTACCTTCCCATCAGCTTATGGGCCTTTCCTCAGGCAGTAAACCACGCCCACTCCCAGAGCCCACGCCCACAAATAAGCCATCTCCATCCCTGGAACACCTGGTCGCCAGTACCTCTGATCCCCTCACTCCTGACCAGGTCGCCATTACCGCTCAGGGTCCTAACCCCTGACCAGGCCATACCACAAGCCCTTCCGGGTCCCGCCTCCTGACCACGCCCACTTCTCTAGCCCCAGTTCCTCTAAGCCCCACCCCTAGCCCTCCAGGCCTCTCCCAACGCTGTGGCCCGGTTCTACAGCCCGTGAAGAAGCGCGGCTGGCCTAAAGGCAAGAAGAGGAAGAAGATTCTGCCTAACGGGCCCAAGGCACCGGTCACGGGTTACGTGCGTTTCCTGAATGAGCGACGGGAGCAGATCCGCACGCGCCATCCGGATCTGCCCTTCCCGGAGATCACCAAGATGCTGGGCGCCGAGTGGAGCAAGCTGCAGCCAGCGGAGAAGCAGGTTGGCCAGCTGCGACCCCTGACCCCTAGTACCACTGGGACACCCATAACCCCGAAGAATCAGGCACAGAGGGTCTTCTTGCCTGGAGAACTGACCGCCTACAACTTGTTGGCACAACAATTAAGCACTGGGCTGCTAACCAAAATATTGGCAGTTTGAACCCACCCAGCGCCTCCACGGGAGAAAGACCTGGCGATCTGCAGGTCTTACAGCTAAGAAAACCCTATGAGGCAGTTCTACTCTGTCAGATGATGTCACTGTGAGTCAAAATCAACTCAATGGCACCCAACAACAAAAGCAGCTCATTGGAGGAGCTGGGAGTGATAGGCAAGAATAGGCCTGTTGTTGTGGGGAGTAGGGAGCTGTGAAAGGTTCAGTAATGAGAGCTAAGTGATGGTGATGGCCAAGCGCTCTCGTGATATCCCTGCCAGAGGTACCTGGACGAGGCGGAGCGGGAGAAGCAGCAGTACATGAAAGAGCTGCGGGCGTACCAGCAGTCGGAGGCCTACAAGATGTGCACGGAGAAGATGCAGGAAAAGAAGATCAAGAAAGGTGGGAAGGGCCCCGGCCTCAAGGCAGTCCAGTGCTGCTCTTCAGGTGCTGATCCAGAGCCCGGGGACACAACAGTGACCCAGGCAGACCCACCACCACCACCACCCCCAAGTCCCCTCCGTGAGGCTCAGAATCTGGTGAGGGGAGAGAGACACAGAGCCAGGCAGTCATGACAGAGGAGGGGGGATCAGTGCTGTGATGAGGGACACACAGACCCGGTGGGGGCGGGGTGGGGAGCCTGACCTGGGATCTGTAGGCTGACTGAGAGGGAGGGGGAGGAGAAGGAGGGTGTTCCAGGCAGAGGGAACAGAATGTGCAAAGTATGGGGTCAGAGGAGGCGGGGAGGCTGACCTTGCCCTCCTCCCTCCCCCACCAGAGGACTCGGGCTCAGGGCTCATGAACACCCTGTTGAACGGACACAAGGTAAGTGTCCCTCCTCCAAAGAGGGCCCGAGGGGGTCTTCACTTCTAGGGGAGATAGGTTTGAGGGTTCTTGATCCTGGTGAGTGCCTTCTCTTTCAAACGGGGGCAAGCAGAGGCTGGTGGGACAGCCTCGAGGTGGGAGTGTTGTTAGACTGGAGTGTCATTGGACCATTCGGGCCCAGGGTGGCTCGAGGAGATGTCCCCAGCCTGGGGACATCTCAGGAAGGGTCTTGGCTGCCCCCTAAAATAAGTTGTCCCCTTGCTTCTTCACCCCAGGGTGGGGACTGCGACGGCTTCTCCACCTTCGATGTCCCCATCTTCACTGAAGAGTTCTTGGACCAAAACAAAGGTGAGAGTGGACCCCCTGGCTGGCCTGCAGGTGCAGACACAGTGAAGGGGACCCGGAGCGGTGGGTGGGGCAGAAGGCGCCAAGGTGGGAGGCAGCGGATGCAGGAATTTACCGCTGAGAGCCCCCCTCTTGCCCTCCCCCCCACCGCCCGGGCCTGGGAGCTGACCTGCTCCCGCCGGTCCTGCAGCGCGGGAGGCGGAGCTGCGGCGCCTGCGGAAGATGAACGTGGCCTTCGAGGAGCAGAACGCCGTGCTGCAGCGGCACACGCAGAGCATGAACAGCGCCCGCGAGCGCCTGGAGCAAGAGCTGGCGCTGGAGGAGCGGCGGACGCTGGCGCTGCAGCAGCAGCTCCAGGCCGTGCGCCAGGCGCTCACCGCCAGCTTCGCCTCGCTGCCCGTGCCCGGTGCGGAGGCCCTGCCCTGAC